ATGATCGCAATATAAGGATATACAGTAGGGATAAGACCCTATTTTCCGTTCAACCGCGCATATTTGCTTGCGCATCATAAGCGGCCATTTGGTGACATCAATCCCGGTCAAAGCAGAAAATCATAGTTTTCGTTATTGCAATCGCGCCATGACGTATCGCTGCGCTTGTCTTAGGCTGAAATCAGACTATGCATTGAAAATTGAGATTAAAAATTAAAGATTGAAATTTCTGATGAAGCAATGAGGACAAAGAAAATGTTTTGGTTCCTTTTGTTTTGATTGGTCAAACTTCAATCTTTCAATCTTCAATCTTATTCTTCAATGCGTAGTCTGATTCCGACCTAACGTGACGCGAACATTTAACCATATTGGTTCCGATGACGCGAAGCATGGCATTGAAGGTATTGAAGCATGGCATTGAAGGTATTGGAGCGTATGATACGAACAAACCTTTAGCTAATAAAGTTGACAGATAGGTCGACAATAAAAATGTACAAATGCGGCAATTTCAAGAAAGTTAAAATTAAGAACTATAAATGAAATTTTTGGAAGTTATTTTAATTGCTATTTGATATATAATATATATAGTTTTCAATTATTTTTTTTTTAAGTAAAATTTCTTTAATAAGCATGAATACAAGTAAGTTTTAATTAATAATGACTTAAAAGATTGAGATAAAGTTAGAATATGTATTAATAATAATTATTATAATAATTTGATACAAATAACAAACGATAATAATAATTGGATATACTGAATATATTATTAATTATCAGCGCAACGATCTATATCGAAATTATGGTCTACTCTCAGTAGAGCTGTTCGATCCAAAACCTATATTAATAGTCTATCTCTTACTGGAATACCAAGGTCAAGCCTATGCTTTCGTATAGACAAGAGCGGTATTAAGGTATTTTACATAAAAATTATCCATTCAGTAAGATAAAAGAAAATTTTGCGCAGTTGTTTATAAAAATGTATAACTCTCGGAAGTTATAATGAAAATAAAAGATTGTATGGTAATGATAATAGGCAATATAATTGTCGTAATGCACTTTAAAATGATCATGAACTTTATTAAATTTATGAAATAGATTATGAGTACAAAGTCATCTAAAAGATGATTAAATTGTTATAAAGAAATTTAATTATAAATTATTATAAAGAAATTAATAATAAATTGTTATATCGTTTAGTGAAAGAATATAATCGACGAAAAGATGACTAAAAGATGACAGATGTGATGACTGCTAATCATCCTATAGCCTTATCCATATGATAATTAAAGGATAACTTCTTTGGATATCTTTTGGCCTTTAAGGCAGCTTTTAATTTTTATATTTTGGCACATATAACATTTAATAACATTGAATTCCTAAATTAATTTTTACACAAATCGAAATGAAATTGCATAACTGACAATATATACATCCTATTTTTCAGTCTTGCAATGTTTGCCGGTGTCCTATGTACCGGAATCATTATCTTTCATCATAATTCCTTCGAGACTCGATTACAAAAATAATTCATTAGTGTTCATTAAAACACGAATCAAATTTCTCATAATGCTGCATTCTTTTATTCTATCCAGAGTACTTATCATGAAACATGTCGGAATGAATTCTGATCGGAATCCATTCCGACTTTATTCCATAATAGGTGCCCTGTATAGTTTTCAAGCATGAGAAACTGAATTCCACCACATCCGTTTAATAACGATTCAACATACTACTCGCAAATGAGTCATAAAAAGTATAACAGAAAGATATCTTTTTTTATGTTATCTTTTTGGCAATTCAAAAAGATATCTTTTCGTCAATTTTTTATTTTGCGAAAATGACAACCATAGAAAGATGACGAAAAGACAACTTAAAAAAGACATTTTTTTGTCATCTTTTTATGATTCTTATAGACATCTTTTCATCTTGCTGAAGGACAATCTAAAAATAATGTCTTTTCGTTTTTTAGACATTTTTTTCGTTTTGTCGGAAAGACAACTTAAAAAAGAAAACTCTTTTAGTATTTTATACTATCTGGATGCATAATGTATGTTATTTTAAATTGAAGTATATGGAAATTATCTTTCAGATTCCGAAGTATCAAAATACTTATCATTTGGAGCCTTACAAGCCTTTCAAGTGTGAAATTGTTGATATGATTTTAATTGATGTAATGCAGGATTATTTAGTAGGTTTAAAATATCAATCCCAAGTTTGCATGCAGATGTGTCAAAAAATGTCAGAGGAAGTGCGCTACAAAATTTGTAGGGAGTTTTACAATCGGTAATATATTGATCAATGAAACAAATATGTTATAGTAAATTAAATTAGACGTACTAGTGCACATTAAAAAATCCTTACAAAAATTGATGTAAAAATGTTTGTTTTATATAAATATAGAAATAAGTTTTATTAAATCGCGAAATCTTCAATGCACTTTTTGTATT